AATAGAATATCGAGAAATATTCAGACATTTGTTACTATTTTCAGTTTACCACTGCACCCTGCCAGCAGCCCCGGTAGGTCTCTGAGTATCGGGTGGTGGTGTGATGTGACTATGTGATTTCCCTCACTACCTAAACCGCTGTTCATAAAACGCGAAATAATTAAATAACAAACCAACAATAAAGAACAAAAAAATAAATACAGACTTGGTACAAGGAAGAGTAAAACCTTATCCTGTTTCACGTTTTTTTAGACCCAATTTCACACATAAAGGGGTCAAAAATCATGCCCTTCGGCCCCGCTCACACCCTGGGTCTAGCCGTCAGCTTGGTGATGTCGTAGCTCAGTTTCATAATTTTAATTCCTTTTTCCTCGTTATCAAATGACTTGCGGTGCAAACTGGACGACATGGATTACAAAAAGGGGAGCCAAAATCTCTTTATATGTATCCGATCCTTCAGAAGGAGTAGTAATATTGACTAGAGCTTGCATTTTTTTAGCCTAACGAACCCCAAAGGACGTCTGCGGAGAGACTAGCATTTTTTAAAACCAGACTTATTTCAGTATTGGCTTTAATTCTATCTGTAGGTTAGGCTTTGGCACATTATTCTAGCATTATTTTGAGCATAATAGCATGGCAAAAGCATCGAGCATTAAATGCCAGCATTTTAGCAAGATTTTTGTAACATTAAAAAGGAAAAATTTGTCTAAAGTGGTGAAATTCACCGAGAAACAGCCAAACATATATATTACAGAGGTTTCTAGCCAAAACTAGAGTGAGCCTGGGTCTAGTCAATGCCCGCAGTTATACACGTCAGTGGTTCAGCGTGTGCAGCTGCCATTTTGTTTGCTTGATATTCCAGTATGGATGGCTCGGACAAAAGAGTAACACATACATTCTAGTTACTGAAATTTTTGTGTCTATTATTGTGTATGTATTGATGGAACTTTTGAGCATTTTAGCAAGGCCAAAAGAGCATAATTTAGTAAACATTTTGCGCATTAAGCATTAATCATTAGCATAATAGCAAAAAAATAAAAGAATAATGTGCCAAAGGATATTGTAGTTCAATTTACAGTTGCTTTTGTTTTTGGGAAATATAAATTTGTAAGAGATGCATTTGCTTAAGTTAGTCGATTATCACTTCTTCTCATATAAACTCAATAAGGCCATTTTGCAAAAATGGTTGATTGAATGGAGGTCTGATATATAGCCAGTGCAGTTAAATGTGTAATGAAAGAAGGCAGGGGGATTAACAATAAGGCTTCTCGTTTCCAGTCATCAAATGCTCGCAAATTTTTAAATTTGACATATTAAAATATGTATTGTCACATACGGTTATCATCTAGGAGATGTACTTGTCTCACAGCACTTAATCAATTGAAACAGAGCCCAGATCAAACAAGAAAATTCAAACTTGCCGCAAATGAAACATTATAAGACATTGTTTTCGCCCTTCCTGGGAGCAGTAACTTGATAACAATCGTAACAGTTATAAGCCACATCCCACCATGGCAAAACGGGGAAGGTGGGTTAAGGCACGGTCCCCTTAATTCCCTTGGAGAGCTCAAAACTTTGCAGTGTAAAACCATTATCCTGCGGGTCGTGCATGAGTTTTCAACATTTTGACATCATTTCTACGGTCTGTAAGAGTCATAGACCATGAAAAATGTTTTTTTGATTTGTCAGTCACCTCAAATTTAACATAACAACTGTAAACTACAAAATTACTGTCCACTCACCCAAGGTAGCCATTTCCCAAAGAACAACGCCAAAAGACCAACTATGAGAAAAATCAAAGAGGTTATAAATATGTACAGATTCACGGCATTTAGATTGTTTACTGCCCACGAAGGAGCCCAAAAATGCGTGTACTCTTGAGTTTAGGATGTAATTGGAAAACTGTTAAGGACTGGAAAAATCCGTTTTTAGCAGCTATTTATTTCGACAGAGATGCCTTTAATACTATGATTCCATATTTGGGCAAACAATTTTCCGTGCTTCTAATTGGACGGCTTAAAACCCTAGCATGGTTATAAAAAATAAGGGGATTTAGGCGCTTCAGAGTTATATGCTTCTGTAATTTTTGACGGCAACTACAATTTTGAGAAGTGATTAAGTAGAAAAGTTTCAATAGTTCCCTTGTCAAGGGAGCGGGAAAACTCATCACTTACACATCACTTTTGGTCGTGTAAACCCCTTGATAAAGTGATTCTGGGGCCATCCACTTTACAGGAAGTTTCCTGGACTTCGCTGAGCTGCTCACATCTTCATAGATTTGTCTCATCAACCCAAAGTCTGACACTTTGATCTGGTTGTCATGGCCAACAAGAACATTACGGGCAGCAAGATCTCTGTGAACAAGATTGTTTTCGGCGAGATGATTCTAATAACAAATAAGCAACGAAAAAACTATTAAAATGATCTTAAAACATCATAACGGGGGTACGCGGAACACTAAGTAGTGAAGTATAGATGAAAAAGTACAAATGAAAAGTAAATATCGGCACTGATCTGATTCAAATATTTACGTTTAGATGCATAACGAAACGAATTTAGCCAAAACTGGGTCCACCAAAAAGAATTTTTTCCATATAAGCCATTTTAATGTACTCATATCTAGAAAAACAGCCAATATATTTATCCCATCTATTTCATGTTTATAAAATATAGACTTTTGAATTCTTCTTTCCAAGTTATTCTCAGTATCAGAATCCCAGCAGCATTATCCAGAAAACAAGATAATTACCATTCCTTTAGCTATTTGCCAGGCAAATGAAAACAGTTGTTTGGTAGAAAAGTTCTCCTCTACGTCACAAGGATCCTCGCCTGACTCCCCTAGGTTTTCATTTGAAAGTGGCATTGCAGAAGCTTGAGTTTTTCCTGGTGATGTCGTTGGCCTGGTTAGAAGTTCTTTGTCAGTCCCTTTGAATTCCTCATCCTAATTAAATTGATAAAAAACTATCAAATTTTTGGTTTAGCTTGAAACAGCACAGCTTTCAAGTAATTACTTTCCCTGTTAGTAAATAAGTAACTAACGGATAAAAAGATAAAAATAACATAATTTGCTTGAGCCAGACAAGAGTCACAGAATGTATAAGTATTATCTATTAAAAGTAACTTCAAAGTGACCAGTCTAGAGCTAGATAAAATTTACTTTGGGTCCAGGGTACTGTTTTCAAGTCTAGGATGAATATCCATGCCCACAGTTTGATGTTTGCCCAGAAAGCCTTGGCCACCTGCTGAACACTAAATAGTTAAGTATAGATGAAAAAATACAAATGAAAAGTAAATATCGGCACTGATCTGATCTAAATATTTACGTTTAGATGCATAACGAAACGAATTTAGCCAAAACTGGGTCCACCAAAAAGAATTTTTTTTCCATATAAGCCATTTTAATGTACTCATATCTAGAAAAACAGCCAATATATTTATCCCATCTATTTCATGTTTATAAAATATTGACTTTCGAATTCTTCTTTCCAAGTTATACTCAGAATCAGAATCCCAGCAACATTATCCAGAAAACAAAGATAATTACCATTCCTTCAGCTATTTGCCAGGCAAGTGAAAACATTTGTTGGGAAAAGTTCTCCTCTTCGTCACAAGGATCCTCGTCTGACTCCCCTAGGTTTTCAATTGAAAGTGGCATTGCAGAAGCATGAGGTTTTCCTAGTGATGTCGTTGGCCTGGTTAGAAGTTCTTTGTCAGTCCCTTTGAATTCCTCACCCTAATTAAATTGATAAAAAACTATCAAATTTTTGGTTTAGCTTGAAACAGCACAGCTTTCAAGTAATTACTTTCCTTGTTAGTAAATAAGTAACTAACGGATAAAAAGATAAAAATAACATAATTTGCTTGAGCCAGACAAGAGCCACAGAATATATAAGTATTATCTATTAAAAGTAACTTCAAAGTGACCAGTCTAGAGGTAGATAAAATTTACTTTGGGTCCAGGGTACTGTTTTCAAGTCTAGGATGAAAATCCATGCCCACAGTTTGATGTTTACCCAGAAAGCCTCGGCCACCTGCTGATACACGTCCTACTGACTAAAAACAACAAACACACCATTTTACTAGACGATGGAAGTCACAAGCCCGCAACTGAAAATAGCTCACGAGAATGAAAACAAGGCGCTGAAACGTAAATCCAAGACAGCGCAGAAAAGGTACACTATCGACGAAACACATTAGTGGCACAGGAAAACCAAGATCATGTTGTGTCCTTCTAACGCGAAACGTAAGCAAAATAAGGCGCCCTAGAGGCAAATTCTTCTTTATTAGTGAATAAGTAATTATCATGGTGTTTTTGTTTTCGTCTTACATCTACTTCGGTGGAAGTCGATGGAATCACTTCAAGAACGGCATCTTTGTTGCTTTGTTGCGGAGACACTGCAATGTCTTCTTGGTCTTGGTGTATAGAACGTTGATCCTCCTTAACTTCATACTCATCAGCCAAACTTTTCTAAATGATTAAAGAAAATGGCGATGACATTTACATGTAGAAAAAATGTAACGCTATTGCAGGTTTCCACTGTCACGCTATTAAAAATAAAAATCAAACCCGTGTAATAGATAAAGTCTAGAATCTGAGAAATGAAAGAAGGCAAATATACAAAGGCCCTCGCCAAGATTCAGGTCGGTGCAATTTTTCATGTGCGAGAAATTCGGAGAATTTTTTTACCTACATTTATAGAGCTTTATATGGAGACGCAATGTTGGTGCCCATCCGGATGGTCACTAACATGGCGGCCGGGAACCAACAGAAACATGTGTCACGGAGTTGTGCTATTTAAGGGTGAATTCATCTCTTGAGGAACTCATTAACTTTGACATTAATACAAAATCCCCACAACAGAGTCATTTTTTCAGCCCCCATGGCAGCTATCTCATGCGCCATGTAAATAGCCTGCGAGCAAGCTCTCTGGGGTGCTCTGGCGGCTCGGCGGCAAAAGGAAGGAGAGCTTGTAGCTACGTCTCTGGAAAATGAATAAGTCGATGCGAAATGCTGATTAGCGAAGATGACATTAGTAATGACGCCATTACCCTTGGCACGTGTTTTTTGTTTACAATCGCGCTCTTTTCCGCTTCGCGCTGATTGCCGGAAATCTGACAGCTCAGTCGACGGGGAGCCACAGGCGAACCGGAGGTAGAATTCAAATTCCAGAGACGTAGTTGGAAGCTCTCCTTCCTTTTCCCGCCCCGCCGTCAGAGCGCCCTGGAGAGCTTGCTCGCACGCTACCATGTAAATGCCGCGTCACGCAGTTAACCTAATTAAGTAAGCGCCAATTAAGTCGACAACTTCGATAAAAATCGATTAAAGTCGATAATTATGGATTAGCAACAACTTTTTTCTCTATCAAGTTTTGTGGTGTAAGAAACACTTTTGAAGGCACAACCACATCAACAAACCAGTAAGGGTCAGCTGGATCTTTAGTAGGCCTGATCGGTAAAATATTCAAAATACCAAATTTAGACTTGTGATAAGCCTACTTGATCCCCAAAACCTCTCTCTGATTTTTCTAAACGTCTTTATAGTTAACTAATTCTTCCATAAAGAGGGGCTTCTCGGTTCGCAGATCATTAAATAAAGAGACAACTTTTGCATATTACACTTGACTAACGCAATCGATAAAAACCGATATCAGAAAATCAATTGTCAGCGCTATCGTTTTTAACTATTTTAACGATATTATCGATTGCCTCTCAGGTTCAAAACCTAATCGACAACTTCGATAAAGTCGGCAATAATCGATTAACAACAACTTTTTCCCCTATTAATTTTTATCGATTTTCACTTTAATCAATCGCTCTTTATCGATTATTATTCATTCAAAATATTTCCCCGATTCTGATTGGCTAAAAGCACACATTTAAATTCACCATAACCAGTTACTGAAGACCAAATGTGGAAGAATTTTGTGTTTAGAGAGGGAATGACGTCAAAAATGGTTAATGCACGCATACTTCGTCACCGAGATGATAAGAAGTCGACGCTGTGCCCTCGCTGTTATCCTGTCGTAATGGGGTCATTTCGATGCTCAATTGTATTTTCTCCGCTTGCTTTATCTGTTTCTTAGCAAGTTTACTGACCTGTGTGGAAATGAATAAATTCGATCAGGAATCTAAGGGATATGCGAAAAGTCTTGCTAAAATTTAGGTCTGTGCAGTTTTTTTGTTTGCGAGGTTTTTCGGAGAAATGTGTTACCCAAATTTATAGAGCTTTGTTTTCAGACGCCAGCCATGTTGGCAACCCTCTGAGGAATACAGATATGATATGGCGACCGAAAACTCACAGAAACATTGCCATAAAGCGAGTACTCATAAACTTAATACTTATTCCAAAAGCAAAGACTGTTCAGATGAAAAAAATCTAAAAAAAAAAGATATGTCACTCTTTAACTTACAGTTACGTGACAGCTTTTGCTTCCCCATTATTGTCGCGTCACGCAATATATTAGAATATTCAAACGAATTCTGTCACAAAATGAAGAACCCTTTCGAAATGAAACTTTGTAGAAATACACGTGTTCAGTTGCTCTAATAGTTCACTAAAATGAAACTCAGAAAGATAAATAATTCCTTATTTTGAAGTATGATTACGTTACCTGCAAACCATTCAACAACAATCGGATGGGTAGATTAGATAGCTACAATAGGTCACAACAAGACATAAAACAAACGAGCACTCTGGATAATAAACGTTTTTAAGACAGAGCTAGTATGGAAAGTTAAACTACAGGTTATATACAAGCCTACATGATCTCTGGTCTCTCCCTGATCTTTCAGAACCTCTTTGTCAGCATAACATCTCTCGGTAGCTTGAAGTTCTTCGATCTAAACATCAAGTGAGTAACAAAAACCGTACTTTACGTCTGCATGGCTTCAAGCGATCGTAGAGTTAAAAAGTTATTATCTCCATACTAGATTACTGCCCCTAATTCGAGGCACACCAGGTTTTATGGACTAAGAATCGCAAGGAGGATTTTAATACCACCCCTACCATTGTTACACCCAAGGATAAAACACTTTTAAAATAATAATAATAATTATTATTATTATTAGTAGTAGTAGTAGTAGTAGTAGTAGTATCATTAAATTCTTTTATAATTTTGAAGTAACTGCAGTCGCTTAAATAAGTTGTACAAAATGTTCTGATAGTACCAAAAGATATTCGTAATGTTGCCTCCCTACCTCTGTTTCTTGATAATTTCGTTATAAACTAATTGTATAATTGTTCATGTCCTTCATACCTTTTTCCTTCTGCGGCGTAGCCACGTCAGCAGGTCACCACTGGGAACGTATTCTATAACTAGGAACATTTTCTCCTGAAGCGTGCAGCATCCAACCATAGATACAACGTTCTTATGTGAACCTAACAGTTTCATCTGCTCAATCTCAAACGTGAACTCTTCTTTCTGTGCTTCAGATGGATTATCTAAAGACAATTGAATAAAATGACATTGATTTTATTATTGTTATCCTTCAGCATCATTCAGTGCAAAATGTTTCATTTGAAAAATATATTCGTCCATTTTTACCGCTTCCTACTCATCCTCTAATGCACAAGGGTCTATACAGATGTATTCTACCGTGTAATAGAATATCGAGAAATATTCAGACATTTGTTACTATTTTCAGTTTACCACTGCACCCTGCCAGCAGCCCCGGTAGGTCTCTGAGTATCGGGTGGTGGTGTGATGTGACTATGTGATTTCCCTCACTACCTAAACCGCTGTTCATAAAACGCGAAATAATTAAATAACAAACCAACAATAAAGAACAAAAAAATAAATACAGACTTGGTACAAGGAAGAGTAAAACCTTATCCTGTTTCACGTTTTTTTAGACCCAATTTCACACATAAAGGGGTCAAAAATCATGCCCTTCGGCCCCGCTCACACCCTGGGT